AACTCCTGTGAAAGCAGACTTGACTAATGGAGAGCCTGAAAAAAAAGAAAATGGAGATGACAAACCACAGGATGATTCCACTTCTGCAGTACTTGGTAAATAAAACTTTAGTATATGTGGCTTAAAGCTTTATGAAACTCTGCTTCAATGCCAGAATTGCATTCCACTCACTTCACCTATTGTGTGCTAACTTCATTATAAAGACACTGGTTTGAATTTTGCAAAGCTCTCTATTACATCTTAACAATAAAACTATGAGATTGGCTTAGTCAACAAACCATGCAAAATATCTAGTATCTGAGGATGGCCTTGAAGAGCTGCTACTAAGGCAATGATCAGGCAAGCATGGCTTCAATCCATTCCAAGAAATTAATTTGAGTAAATGACCCAGATTGCGCCCCCCCCCCCCAGGGAGGAGGAAAAGCACATTCAGAATTGCAAGATTCTGTTACTGTAGATGTTTTAATTAAAATAATTTTAGATCTATATGATCTAAATTTAGATCTATTGGTTTTTTAGTCTGATATGTCTTATAAAGCTAAGAGTGTTCAACATTAAGTCAAAGAACCCTAACTTAGATGTAATGGCTAATTGAAGCTTAATACAAATCAGAACTGTTGCAGCAAGCCAGAGCATGATTTGGGAAGGGGAGGGGGGAAGAAATGTAATGCCATGGCATTGATACAGCTGCATAAATCATAGTTTTGGATAATTCTTCAAATGTAGTCAAAGTAAAGTAAAATGATTAATCTAGAATGGCAATTTTGATTTATATATCTTTCTTAAGAGAGTATACTTGTACATTTTGATGAATTCATTTTAACATTCCATCGGTTTTCTTCTGTTGCCCATTTTAAAAACTCCAACACACAAGGTATTTTTTTTTAAAAAATGGTTGTCTGTTGGCAATAGTCATATCAGTATATTAAAATAAAGTATGTAACAACTTTAGGATTTCTGTTCTACCATTGTTCTGTGTGTAAGGTATATAAAGTATAGTTATCAGTATAAATTTTCAGATAGGCTCTATCTCAACACAGCTATTGATTCTCAGTGATTTTTAATATCTCAGCACTGAGCAGGATGTATCCATAAGATGCAATTCAGGGTACGATGTATGTTACAATTATGTGACATTGTGATATTCTAAAATGATATAGCATCCGATTTGCCTTTGAAGAAAGTGTACAGGTATCTTGGTAAACATGCACATTGAGAAATCTCCAGGAAGCTTTTGATAATTGTAACCACATTCTAAGGTGAGCCTTATTTTATGAGTAGTGCAACAGCTGCCAAGCTGGTAGTTGCATCTATCAGAGAAGCCTAATTACAACATTGAGGAAGTTTATAAGTCTCCTGTGCAAATTGGACATGAATGGTTAGTTTTTCCTAACTAGGCTTTATGGATTTACAAAACAAAACAGGGAGTACTTCTTTTTTTAAAAGGGGTGACGAATTGCAACTTTTTTTTCCAAATAACTTCTTAATATATATTTTATCAGAAGAAGAAACTGAAGGAGGCAAAGAAATTGTTAAAGAAATCTTGGAGGATGTGGTCACTTCAGCGGTTAGAGGTAAACGTTATTTGGTTAGGTCTCTGTCTTTCTTTCTGCCTTTTAAAAAAGAACATCCTCATTCTTAATTTTCTTCTTTAGCCTAGTGCTCTTGCTGAGAATAAGTTAAAACCAGAACTAATTGCCTTTTCACATAAAAGATTCTGTAACAGCCTCTAACAATTCCCATATCATTAGAGGAAAACTGACTCAGTACTTCAGCAAATTTCTATTCTCTTAGTGTTTTCTATTGACTCTCTGAATTAAATTATTTACAAAATGCTTGGTATGTAACTATGGCAAACATAATTCTTCAGCCTCTTTAGACGAAGAACTTCTGAAGCAAAGTCTGCCTGAATCAAGTAGGATTTTGTCTGAGCTGGGAACTGCAGTTCTTGCTTCTCCAGGTGGCAGTCATGAAAATCAGCAAGCAAATGGAATTTCAGATGATAGACAGTCTGTCTCCTCCACAGATAATCTGGTAGGGGTTTTCATCATATAATTTGAATGTAAAACTAACTTTTGGGAGAAGGAGGATGGTTTGTAGATAGGAATCTGAAGCTAGGGTTGGAGAAAGCTCTAAAATATTTGAAAGGGCAAACAAATGGTCAAAACCTATGCATTTCATTACCAATGTATCTGCTTAGGTTGGTATTTACTACTATGATAAAACAGATGCTGCCGTGTTTTGTTGAAGCATGAATTTGGAGCAAATTATAACAAAATGTACACGTTATTTTGAAACATTAGCCTAACAATCTGTTATGCGGTTAAATTGTACTTTATATCAAAGCTTTTAAAATTCCACCTTAATTACTTTTATAAGCAACTCAAGGTGGCACATATGCCTAATACTCTTTCCTCCTCCTGTTTTTCCACAACAACTCTGGGTTGGGCTGTGAGTGAGTGACTGGCTCAAAGTCATCCACTGGTTTTCATGCATAAGGCCGGACTAGAACTGACAGGCTTTGTCTGGTTTTGCTCCATCTAATTATCTGTAGCTATGATTTATTAACATATCCAAAAAAATTAGTTGTACTTTGTTTTACTAAGATAGCATTGCATAAGATTTCCTATATTCTTATGCTCTGATGATTTAGTTACTGTAATGATAAATATAATAAATATTGCTGTGTCATAGGTAAGCATACATGAATGTGCTGATTTTTTATAATGCATTTTTAACCCACCACAACTGGTTAGATATAATACATATTTTAATTCAAGCACTTGGATCTTAACCTTAAAACTTTCACACTTTTAATAGAAAATTATAATAGAAAATCCTAACAAAACAATTAAAAATACAATTAAAATGTTTAACAGGAGTTCAAATGATATAAATATATGTACTGTAGTTGGCATTAAGAAAAGTTTTGAGAACTGACAGAAAAATTATCAACATCTTTTTGAGCTTACACATTAATTTCTTAAATGAATGAAATAAAGTAAATGAATGTTAGATTCAACAGTAGTAATATCTTTTATATCATCTTTATTTAGGATCTGACTAAAATAGATTGTAGGCTCAAATGATTCACATTCAAATTTAATCAATACCTATCTACTTGAATGCTATCTACTTAAATTGAGCATCTGTGTTTTTACTGGTATTTTGTTGGAAAAAATGGGAAATTGTTAAAGCTTCATGAATCTCAGATCTCACACACACACACAAATACACACACACACACACACACACACACAGAGTTACAAGTTCATTCTTGCTTAAGGTTACTCTCAAAAAAGTTGTTCTGCCTTTTAATGTTAGATTATAATAATCATTAAAGAGTCAAACATCTGTCAACTTTAGCCATCCTAACTAATTCTTCTGTGGCTTTNTGGCTCTGCGCAATATATGCATCTAAATGTAGGCATTTAGGGGAGATCCACCCCCCCCCCAAAAAAATTCTTGTAATTGTATCCTGGTGTTTGTGTCATAAGTTTTTCCTATAAGAGTTGTATGAAGAAAAAAATGTAGCTGATATGTGGGATTTTACTGTATTGAATACATTTGCACAATTTAATCTCCTGATAAGAATAGTAGGTTATACGATCCAGTCCAATATTTGTGGTCTCTGGAGGTTAACTCCCCTACATCCCATTAGCAAATTTTACTAGCAAAATGAAAAAGTCAGCAGCACATTTTTTTTCTTAACAGTTTTTTTTCTTTAAAAAAACCCTAAATTAAAATTTCTTCTTCTAAAGCAGGCTGAAAATTTCAGACCAACCCTCTTTGCTATGTTTCTTGCATCCTATTTTCTGATGCATGTTTACATCTGTCTTTACATCTGTTCAGGGGTTTTACTTAAGTATTGAAATCAGACTTCACGCATGGTTAAATAGCACCATATCCAAATCACCATTTAGAAGCAGTCTTACTAAAGGTGTTTTGGATATGAAGGACAAACGAGAACAAAAAGGACTATCCGGATTTGCATGAAGCATTTAGTCCCTTTTGAAAACTCAGGTCCAGGACTTTTATAAGGTTAGGAAACATTCCAATCCTGATGTCATAATGCAAACAACCCACTCTCCTTTTCCTCAATATATGTTCTTGATTGCAATGGAAAATGCCTTGTGATATTGTATTGTCTCTCTAAACCATTGCCAGTAAACTGAATTTCATAAACTATATTTCCATTGTAGATGCCCAGTGTGTAGTGGACATATATGTTAACTATGACTGTGACTTGAATGCTGCTAATATCTTTGAACGGCTTGTAAATGATTTATCTAAAATTGCACAAGGACGTAGTGGACATGAGTTAGGCATGACACCACTACAGGTAGGATCTTCTTGTTGTTTTATTCTGAAATTATTCACCACAATCAGTAACACTACCTCCTAAATAAATATGCATAAATGTTTAATAGTAATATATGTTTGTATTCTTGCTTCTTTGCACTAGTGTATCCATGTTATTCTATTAACTTGTGTATCATAGAGTTTAGGAGTATATTTACCTTGGACACAGATCCAGACTTGAGTAACTGATAGTGATAGAAGAGATAGTACTATAATCTATGCGTTCTTAAATCATGATTGAGTTTATTTTATACAAATCCATGGTATTTTTAGTCAATCAGCACTGCTCTTGTTTTAAAATAAAGCTAATGACCATTTGCAGTATAGTTGATTGTTCCCCACTCTTTTGCATGTAGGAACTAAGTCTAAGGAAGAAAGGTCTTGAATGTTTGGTCTCTATTTTAAAGTGCATGGTTGAATGGAGCAAGGACCTATATGTGAATCCAAATCATCAAGCCAGCCTTGGTAAGAAATCCAAAAACATACTTACATATTTTTCTTGCTTTCCACTTATTAATTGAGTCTGGTTTCCTGATCACAGAGTTTCACAAAATTAGAATTTTCTATGGTAATTTTTATAGTGCTGCTTGAAGGAGGTGGAAGTAGGATATGCCAGTTTTTCTCTATTTTTCTCTTTTTGTGAGAAATATTGAGAAACGTTATAGGAATTGAAATTCAACATGTCTGGGGGTCAACTTTGTAGAGAAAGCTAAAATGCATTTTTATGAGATAGCTGGCTTCTAGTTTCGATTAACTAGCAACTTTTTGAATTTCTCAGTTTGGAACTATAGCATAGTTACACCATGGTAAGATGGGTGGTCCATGAATTTTAAAAACAAACAAATAAACATAAGATTATGTATAATGACAAACAAATATTTTTCTCCTGGAGTTCCCACATATGAAAAGCCAGTTTACATCATCTTGAAATATTCGCTCTGTGGGCTATTGGGAAATTTGGAGATTGGGAATACTGGTAGACTTGCATTTTGATTTTTATAGTTCTGATTTAAGTATGTGCAGCAGTCTAAATACATTTCTCTCAGTTGTATGTAGATTTTGAGTATGTCTTTTTTTATGTGCAGGCCCAGATAAACCTTCAGACCAAGAAATAGGGGAAGGAAGATGTTTGGAAATTGGAGGGCGAAGAAGCAGTGCAAGTTCTTTAGATTCAACTGTATCCTCAGGAATTGGGAGTGTTGGTATGCAGTCTGCTCTTGTTGATGATCCAGAACAATGTGAGGTCATCAAGCAACAAAAGGAGATAATTGAACATGGGATTGAACTGTAAGTTGAAATTAATGCTGGAGTAGTTTCCAATCAGTCTTTTCCTGATAGATGTGGAAAAGCAAACTTCCTCTGTTTCTCTGCCACAGAGAAAACTCTGTGGATGTGTAAGTGAAGTCCCCAGTAATCAAGCTTAGTTTGATGGAGACTTTATATTCTGCAGTATTTTTAATTATACAGTACATTCTGAAAAGGGATTAGCTGAGGACAATGATGTGGGGAAATGCTTTAATAATATTTGTGCAGTCTGTAGAACCTTTTTAGAGTTAAAGAGTCTTTCTGTGCCACTTTAGGATGGGTTGTGTAATAAACATAACTCATTTTCTAAGTTCACTCAACACATTGAGTTATAAACTCAGCTATGTTAGTATGGATTTCCATGATATGTCAACAAAGGCACAGAAAGTAAGTTAAGTATGTTGCACATACAGTATATAACTTTCCTACTTCTGTTAAGCTTGTTTCATGAAGTCAGTCTTGCACCAAGAGTACAAGAGTCACAGTTTACACTTTTTCCTCTGCCTTCTGTGTCTTACCTCCATCAAATAGATTTAACAAGAAAGCCAAGAGAGGACTACAATATTTGCAAGAACAGGGAATGCTTGGAGAAACAGCTGAAGACATAGCACAGTTTTTTCATCAAGAAGAGCGCCTGTGTTATGTAAGGTTACATACATTAACAAAACCTTCTTCAAATTGCGCCTTACATTTTCATGTGATTCTCGCAGGTTTTTGTTTTTCATGGTGTCACGGAATCTAAATATTAGACTAAATATTTACTAGTTGTATTCAGATGCTTCCTCTTACCAGAGCCTAAGAACATTGATGTCCAGTTTGGCAACAAGGTCACCACAACCCTCTTTGGAAGTTGTTACTCTGGCATTCACTTACGGAATCATTGTGAGGAATATACTGAGCATCTGACAGATGAAATTGCTCTGATTCTCTCCGCATCAGATCCTGGCCTTGATGTAGGGTTGATTCTGTTTCAGGACCTGTAGTCCCAAGGGTGGGAGGTCCCATCTCCTGGTTGTTTTCACAATAATGATACCTTCCTTGAGTCCTATGTATTTTAATTTTTGCATCTTTTCTGAGAATTCGTTTTTAATTTATTTTAAAATAGTTCATTACAGAATCACTTGCTGAGATGGGCAGGCATACAAATTGAATAAATAACATAAAGAACACACATACCTAAAATCTCTTAGAGCTTGTTAATGAGTTGTCTTGTTCTAATTTTATAGGCTCTTTTGATCAGATGCCAAGTAAGTTTGAAATGGTGTGACTGTTTACTTAGAAATAATATAATGCACATAAAAAGGAGAGGAGACATCCCATACACTGGCAGATTCACCTAAATTGTTTCCCCATATTTTGTTTATCTGTGTTGAGTATAATTAATAATGCTTGGATGTGGATCTCTCCCCCCCCCAATTAAAACACATGATGATAGGCCCTTCAAATGGTGACTTCTATAGCAATAGTAATCAAATATGGTACTCTTGTATTCTATTTATATGTCCTACCAGTAGGAATAAAAATAATCCACAGCAACTAAGATTATAAAATTTTAAAAATGAAGCACTAATAACACTCTTTTTTCCATTTTTTTGTTTTTGTTTTCTCATGTTAGAGCCAAGTGGGAGAATTTCTGGGGGATAGTAACAAATTTAACAAGGCGGTGATGTATGGCTATGTAGACCTGCTTGATTTCTGTGGAAAGGACTTTGTCTCTGCTTTACGCATATTTCTGGAAGGATTTCGGTTACCTGGTGAAGCTCAGAAGATTGACAGACTAATGGAAAAGTTTGCTGCTAGATATATTGAATGCAACCAAGGGTAACTTGAAATATATGGTGTACGCTGTATAATACTTAAAGGGCTGAAAGAGATCAGGGAGACAAGGTGCAAGCCTACTCATGGAAGCTGTTTGATGACTTTAGACCAGTCACAAGACAGGAAATCTAATGAAGAAATACATAATGTTATAATGCAAGTGACTGCATTTTTTTAAAAAGCCTCCATTAAAGGAAAACTGAGGAGATGATTAGCTATGGCAATTGCCTTGCTATCTAGTTTCACAAAGCAGAACATGCTAATATTTCTTTTTTAAAAAAATAAGCACGTTACTTATCAGCTACCTCAATCTGGCATTCTCCAGATATGGTGGGAACTGACGTCCAGCCAACTTGGCTAATATACCCTCAAGACATATGGAGGTTTTCAAGTTAGAATTTGTTTTAGCGGTTTAAAATAAAATTGTGATTACATTTTTTCAGTTAGATACATATTTTAAATGTGGAAATGTTATTTCCCAATGCGAGCAAAATTATAGAAAATGATTTTTTTCTAGAGGTTTTCTGTTTATATTTTGTGGTAGTTCTTTAATAGGGTGAATTACTGAGATATAGTAGACATTCACAATTATCAAGTTCCCGTTTTTCTGTGCTGAAATTGGAAGAAAACCTGGAGAAACCTCCAGTTACAGATAATGAATAAACAATTTCAACTTTTCTGTATGAGTGACATTTTTAAAACGAGTATTTTCAATAAGAATCATTTTGTATATATGAAGGGGGTAATAGAGACAGAACTGTAATATTCTAAAATCCTGCTTTTTTTCTTCTTTTCTTTCCAGCCAAACTCTCTTTGCCAGTGCTGACACTGCTTATGTTTTAGCATATTCTATTATAATGCTGACAACAGACCTGCATAGCCCTCAGGTAAACATGTAAAGAAAGATGTTGCCAGACAGGTACGGTTGAGTTTCTAGGAACTTAAAATCTTCTTTACTGATGTTTGAATTTAACAGGTAAAGAATAAGATGACAAAAGAACAATACATTAAAATGAACCGTGGGATCAATGATAGCAAAGATCTTCCAGAAGAATATCTGTCTACAATTTATGATGAAATTGAAGGAAAGAAGATTGCAATGAAGGACACAAAAGAATATTCAATCACAACCAAATCTACTAAACCGAGTATGACTTTTTCCTCTAAAAAAATCTTAGCTTTTCTTAGTATGCCATTACTGTGTGGATTAAGCAATTAAATTGTTGTGAGTTAGCCAAATCTTCATTTGCTCCACTGGGCCAATATAATTTGTAGCCACTGTTATCTCCTAAATGGTAACATAAAATATCTACTAAAACTTCTTGGATGAAGAATGTTTACAAGATTTAAAATCATTCTTTTAAAAACTTGAATCTAACCTGGCCATTGGTGTGCAGAAGTAGTCTCTTCTTTTACCTGATCCTCTGGCATTGCTTGGGAGTCAACTTGGAGACTCCCTCCCCTTCTACCTGCCACCTCTTCTAGCCTGGACAGTTGATCCTCAGGATAGGAAAGGGAACAGGCAGGGGACTAGGGATGAATTCTAGCAAATGGCTAGACCCTGGGTCTGTTTTATGTTCCTTCCACATCACAAATCTCACGTTATCACTTAAGAAATATCGGGCAGTTTTGAGAATGAGATTATTCCAGTGGAGGTTGCTACTGTTACACTTCTGTTTGAAAAGGTAGGGTATCTGATAATAGAGAGTAATAATCCAGAATGAGAAACAACAATGGAAGCCAATATTAAAGATTGTAGGAGTTTCCAGGAGCACTTAGGGCCTGTTTGTAATAGAAGAATAACTTTAAACAATAAGTTAACGATTGTAACTTATCTTTAGAGTGTATTGGTGATTTTATTGCTTACAGATAATCCTTGACTTAAAGTCTGAAATGGTATAGAATCTCCTGCTTGAGCAGCAGGTTGGACTACAAGACCTCCCAGGTCCCTTCCAACTCTATTCTGATTGACATGATCAAAATTGAGTCCAAAATTTCTGCTTCTAAGTTGGGATTCTTTGGGAATGTAGAAAGTATATCTTTTCCTAAGGTCTATATGCTGCCTTGTTTAGAGTTGTGTGTGTGTGTGAGTGTTTAAAAACACATCTGGGTAACAAGATATTTTTCAGGTGTAGCCAATGAGAAGCAGCGACGGTTGTTATACAATCTAGAAATGGAACAAATGGCAAAGACTGCGAAAGCCCTCATGGAGGCAGTAAGCCATGCAAAGGCACCCTTTACTAGTGCAACCCATCTGGATCATGTCAGACCTATGTTCAAAGTAAGTGTGCAGTTAAACCTAAAGGTATTTAATACGGTTTTCAAATATGCCAAATGTAAAACTGAAATTATATCTGCAAAGTGTCTATTTAATAAGTGGGGCATTTAGAATATGCAGTGACCCATCATGAGTGTAAAAGACAGGCTGGAAATAATGGAAACAATGTATTAGATATAATATACTGTATATACTCGAGTATAAGCCTAGTTTTTCAGCCCACTTTTTGGGCTGAAAAA